ATGGTATTCTGTGCTATTAGAAACAACAGGAAACATTTTGTCTTGTAGTGGCCCGATATAAAGTGAGTAATACAATACTGGCCTACTCTTACTTTAGCACCATGCACACAACTCCACTACCAGTCCAGTGAGGTAGGTAGGAGGGTGTCCCTGGCCTCGGTGGGCTGGGAGGGAGAGCACAGGATCACTTCCAACACCACACTGGAAACAAACCCACATTCAGAAAAATATTCCAAAGGCACACCAGAGCGAGAAGTGGATTTTGGATCACAGTCCGCACTGAATACGTTAACATCCGCCTAATTCTGAAAATTATCTACGCACAGCATGTGTATGCACACAATAAGGCCATACGACGCAATGTGGCACAAACAATTAAAAGTTCTTTTCAAAGTGGAAATGCAAAATGGAACGAATATCTATTTTCTATAAATGAACCGAGCCATCTGCCTCACAAGAGCAGCAGCAGGAGGACCCAAAACAGCAGAAACAGCAGCCTCTGGTGTTAACAATCTATTCTCAAATCTCATGCTCCACATTTCCCCGGCAAACAAGGCTAAAAATACAAGACATGCAACAAATAGTCTCTTGGGATCTGCCATTCCATGGATGGAGTATTCAATCAGTAATATTTTCTGTTCAAATTCAAGATTAAAAAAAAAGGCAAGCTATCCTATTAGAAACGCGTTCAGAAGTGTGAATGTGGTCTCCAAGTACATGCAGCTAAATGCTGAGAGGGTGGTTGTTTTCATACAACATGAATCTTAGGTTTATCTGAATACATTTCTAGATTTATTGAGACTACAGGTCTTGTTATAAAGATGCCATTTTAGTATTTTTGTCATCAAAACATGAAGATCGTTCTCGTTTTGGGAGCAGTTTGGAAAACTGCTGAGGAGTCTGGACTCAGACCAAGCAGGTCCAGACCCAAGCTCTATCACACAGAGACCAGGGCAAGCACCAGTGGTTCACCTGTCGATGGCCCTTTTTCCCTATCACAGAGGAGGATAATTGCAGCACTTACCTCTTCTAGTTACCCTAAGAATTAAATGTGTTCATGTGTAAAGCATTTAGAGCAATGAATGGCATACGCTAAACACAATCATTGCTATTGTTTCAGATGCAAGCCAAACTACAAAAGCACCTTCTTCGAAGGCTAGGGCATGATATAAACAGTGGTTAACAACCTCTGGTAGCTCTTGTGGCCATTGGGAAAGGAAGCTGGGGTGGGCTGATCGGCATCTTTACAGACTCTCTGGCTGAGGATCACAGGCAAAGTTTCCACTGCTTCCAGAAAAGACAAGGCGCTACTGGTCAAGTGGCACTGCCTGGCACTCCCTTCAATAAGAAACAACCAGGCTCGTTGGCACAGATGTAATTGAGGAGGGCACAGCTGGGCTCACAATGGACACCTGTGCCTGTCTTTTAAGAGGACACCACCACCTCCCTTAAGGGGTCGCTATGGAGTAAAGGCTTTTTCCTACACTTGGCATTGGAAGTAGTTTTAATGCCCATGGTCTGGGTCTGTAGCCTAGATATTCTGAAAAGAAATGCAAGGGAGGTGTGTCATGGCTTCACTATCTCCTGTGAAACCAATTTTTGGCTATACCTTTAAAGTAGGCAATGTTTTACATTGGGTATTGTGTTTTGTGGTTGGAAGAAAATTTAAAAAAGAAAACTTACAAATCATGGAGCCAGTAAGCAGAAAATTGCTCCTCTAATTAATAAGACAGCTCAGCTAGACTCCATCTTAAAATCCCCGGGGGCACTTGGTGAGGATAGGGGTGGAGAGGGGACTCCTTAGGCTTCCCCATCCTTCGCAGTACCACTTAAAGAGCCAGACGGGTCCCTCAGACAGTGAAGACGTAGGTAGAAGGTGACAAGTGCTGTCAGCATAGAGCTAACTCAGAACAACTCACGTCTTTCATAAAGTGAGCTGCTTAAGAGATCTCTGGAAAACACTTCACTGGGCAAAGAAGTGCCCATCAGACTACTCCCAGTAAGAGCACAGCCAAGAATCTGAGAAAGATAAGCCCAGTAGGACACTGGGAGAAAAGGTTCTCCCCCGCCCCCGACATACACACACGTCTATGAAGGGACAGAGTTTTGAGGAAAAGGGACAGAATGAAGAAAGGGGAAAACAAGGTTGCATAATAGCATTCATTAATGCAGAGATGACCACAGACCCAGAACTGTATGACCTAGACAGATAAGTGGATTCAGAAATGTGTAAATCCAGCGATCTCTACTGTACCCACAAAATCCTGCTCCTGCCATCCACACTCCAATTATTGCAAGACTTCACCTGCAGGAAGTTTTTTAAAGCAAAGAACTACACGGAAGCTCAGCCTCAGAGCATCTTTCCTCTGCCTTTAATGACCAGGAGCTCTCGTGTACAGTAGCTAAGGCAGGGATGGCAAGCACGTCAGCAGTCCTCTTGTTCAAAGAACAAAAGCAAGTCAGTGTGACATGATACACACGCAATTAGCACTTGGCGGGTCATGAGCAAGTTTTAAACAACCTCCCCCAAAGTTGGAGAGTGTTGAAACATACAGTCATCCTGGCACCAAAGTGCCTTCCTTGCATTATGCCACCAGGTGGGAATATAGATCCGAAGAGGTAGATCTTGCCTATCGGGTAGGAAAGCAGAATATTGCTTGTTGGGGCACCAGATCTTCTACAGGCAGCCCTCTTGCCCCAATATCTTCTGATCACACGCAAAGCTATTCATCTGACACCACTCTCTGACATCTAGTGGTTTTTACGTTAAGTATGGAGGGAAAGAAAGCAGGTGCAATTCTTAGATAAGTAAAGAACATGTCACTGAACTCTTGACTATTCTGCCACCTAGTTCTGCATATCCCATTGGTGAGGGAAGAAGGAACTCTTTGGTTCATATCAACAAGAAAGTCTTGTAGAACAAAAACCATTTACTTGAGTAAATGAGGGGAAAAAAATTAAGGGCTGACCCACATGATAAAATGAGGCTGCTGAGTAAGGAAGGCATGGCAGTGCACCTGACCTTGACTTTAAGGAGTGGGTACTTCCTGGGCTGGGAGCACTTCAGGAACGTTGAAACACACCCTTTGTTTTGGACACGGCAATGGTATCCACCTGTCCAAAGCCAGGTGCAAGTGGCTTCCCAGGTTTTCCCAAGTTGCCTGCTTAAGGCTCATTTCTTGAAGGATCTCACAGCTGCTACAGGTGATGGGCCCTGTGCCCCCCAGCAAATAAAATATGACGAGAGCTATTAGTCGAATTTGCAGCTGTACTTCCATGTGTCAAGCGTTACTGCTACTGCGATGTGTGAGGCATTTGTTGTGAATAAGCCTGCAGAGCGCACAGTATGTTTTCCAGGAGACCTTTAAAGAACAGCTTGCAGACAAGAGGTGCTAGCCTTAGATTCGCAGCCAGCAAAACTCGATCCAAGAGGCATTTGGCAGGTCCCCCACCTCTTGTTTCCAGCGGGCTTCGAACCAACTCCACCAAGCAAATTCCCAGCCATTAGTCCCTGGAGTCAGTCACTCCGAGGTGCCCCGCACTCAAGAGGAAGCACAAACGCACACATTTAGATCAACATCTAGGAAAGATAAGGCCCACTTCCCCACCGCAGCCCTGCGCATTCACAACTCCGCGCTGACTTTGCAATGAGGCATTCACCATAGTAAATTAAATGGCTGAGGCTTGTGCAGCTTTCAGCGAGAGGGAACCACGCTCACCAGAACCCAATGAGTGCAATCACCAAGGCTCCTTTCTAAACCTTTCCTGCTTTTTAAAAAACCCTGCTCCATCAAAGGGAGAAAAAAAAAACTTTTCAGGAAAGGAAACGCGAATGGGTACCACCAAGCAGCGTAAAACGGGAAGCATCTGCCCACCTTTCTCTTAATTCTTCCCTGCACTACGGCTTTTAACACACCGTTGGCTCTCATTTAAAAAAAAGACTACGTTGGTTCTTTTGTGCTCACCCTCAACCCTTTGCACCCGGCTGCTGGAACATGCTGTGAGCAAGCGAGCGCCGGGTGAAGCGGTCAGCTCCATTCCAGCGCCCGCCAGGCAAACCATTTTCCGCAATTACACATTTAAGCCTAACGCACGGCGCACAGGGAAGGAGACGCGTCCGCAGGATTTCCAAGGTAAAGCCATAGGACACCGACAGCTTTTGCGGGAACTGCCTGCGAGCATCTTCAAAGGCAGTCCACGAATCTATCGTTAAGTTGATGCTCCCCGTCCTCGCTCAAGGTGGAGCTGAAAGCAGTGGCCACATTCCGCTCCGCTGGAGTCCGGAGCACCCGAAGCAAACAGGGTCCAAGCCGGGAAGCCATAGGGGTCTCCCCGTAGTGGGGCTCCGGCTTCCCGGCTGGAGTCAGCACCGGCCAGGGAGCGGCGGTGCTAGCAGAGCAGCCTCCGGGCCAGCCGCTTCTCCGGACTCGGCACTGCGGGCCCGCGACCCCGGGAGGGCGCACACGCGGGCCTCCGAGAGGAGAAGCCCGGGGCCGGCTAGGACTCTCGGCCAGGGGCTCCCGAGGGGTCTCAGGCTTGGTGCAGAGCAAGGAGACTTCAGCCCGGGCGCCGCTCCCCAGCGGGATAAAGATGCCCCCTGGGCAAAAGCCCACCTCCCAGGGGACGCCCATCACCCAGGCCCGCTCCCCCAGGAACTCGGAGACCATCTCGCCCTGGAAGGAAGTGGAGAGGACGCGCGCGGGAGGGTGAGACAGGGTGAGACGACCGGGCTCCGCCAGCCTGCCGCAATTGGGGAGAGCTAGAACAACCGCACGGGCGAGGGGAATGAAGGTAGGGGGCCCGGGTCCTAGCAACCTGTAGGATTGCGGCGGATCGCAAAACTCGGGCTGGAAGGCAGCGGTCCCCCTTGCGGGACCTCCACCCGACTCGCACCCAGCCGGGCTAGGTGCGCGGAGAGGGCAGGGGGGCAACTTGGAAAGCCACCTCCACGGGTGCGGGTCGCCCTCGCCCCCCGGTCGCCAGCTCCGCCCAGCACTTACCTCGGGCAGCCGCAGCCCCCGCCGCCCAGAAGCAGAGCCCCAGCCACTGGAGCCACCGGCGCGCCCCTGCACCGCCGCCTCCTGCCGCCGCCGACCTCCCCATGCTCCCGGGCACGCTCAGGGGGCACAGCTCCTCTTCCACGCTCCGGGCTCTCCCTGGGAGCCGCACAGCGACGCAGAGGGCCGAGACGAGTGGGTCCCGGGGGTCGTCAGCGAGTGATCGATCACGCCACGGCCGCTCCCTACGGCAGCGGGACAGGGCGCGCCGGGCCGCCGCCGGGTGCGCACGCAGGAAAAGCGCGCGTCCCCATAGCCTCCGCAGACGCGGCGGCCACTGCCGGAGTCGCACACCGGACCCGCCGCGGTGCTGCACTGCACGCCCCGGACTACCGCGCGGAGCAGCGCGTCCGCATCGCTAATGAGACCCCCGCGGCCGCCCCTTCTCCGCCCCTCGGAGCCGCAGCCAATGAGCCGGGCGGGGCGGGGCGCCGGGCGGGGCGCGCGGGGCGGGCGGCGCAGGTGAGCCCGCGGCGGCTCCACGTGCCCCGCAGGTTTGCTCCACGCGCGGCACGTGGGCCCGCGCAGCCCGGCGGAGGGCCTGGAGCCGGGCGTGGGCAACGGCGCAGGACTCGGGGTGTGGCGCCTGGACCCGAACGCGGCAAGACGTGGGCGTCCGGGTCTCCCGAATCCGAGTCAGCCGCTTCCAGGAAATCTCCGTTTTGTTCAACTTTGAGTCTTTTCCAAGGCCTGCCTCTCGGATCGCTCCTGAAAAATAAGACAAAAAAAATTTCAAATAAATACCAAATAGGAGGAGGGAAAAAACGCACAGCGGGAAACGTCCCTTATTGCACCCGTGCTAGCTTTGCCTACAGCAAAATACAGAGGCTGAGAATGACAATCCCGGGCACTTTGAGGGGTGGGGAGTCCGCTTGTGTTTATTTTTCTAATTCCCCTTGCTGATGTCCTAATCCAGAACCCCCAGGTTTCTTGGATTAGCCCCTCGCGTTGATGGCTCCTGTTTGGGTTCCCTGGAAGCTGGGCTCAGAATTGCCTTTTCTCCTAGCTGTTGGGTTAAAGAGTGACACCTGGGCCTGTATAACAAGACGGACAGGTGACTTTTTTTTAAAGAGGTGTGATTTGTGGCTAAAAAGTCTTTAGCTGCTTTAGTGGAGTGCCTCACCGTTGTTGTTAATTCTTCCCTCTGCAGAAGGAGTAATTTCGGAGGAACTGCGCGAGACCCATGGTGTCAGAGCTGGAGGGGGACGATGGAGTCCACTTTCCGTATTCAGACTCTGTGTCTCTGTCAAGGCAGCACCCTTGGAACGGGGCCAGAACCGGGCCAGAACCCAGCTGGGCAGAGCACGTGGCTCCTATTGCCTGGTTAACCCCTGTCATGAAGGAAGCCTCAATACTTTCCCCACGGGCGGGCGGCGCTCACGATCAACACCTGTTCCTCCTTAAAAACTCATCTCTCCTGCCCACGAGCTCCCCAACATCTTTCTCTGGAGAACGCGCGGTTGAAGGTGAGGTAATTGTTCTGGATGCGGTAATTGCACTAACTCGCTTTCTTCTCCAGCAAAGAGGATGATAGGCAGCAAGATTGATTCCTGATCAGCGCGGACGCCGTGGCTCCCCCGAGTGCCAGCAGACGCGTGAATGTCAGCGCAAGGAGCCCATTGTTTGCTGGACTTTGTTGCAGCTCGATAAAAGGTTTGGGACCCAGGAAGGAAGCCGAGCTCTGGGGAATGGAAGCTTCACAGCCAAGACTGATGTGGGGCCGGTGAGGGATTTGCCAGGAAATCTCTTTAGAATCTTGGTGAATGAGGGTTTTGTCCTTTTCCTCGGAGAAGGTGAATTGAGAATTAATCTACCAAATATGCTTTACCTGTCTCCTGGAAAATACTCATTCATCGCCTGACTTTCCTTATTCTTCAAGACCATGTGTCAAGTCTGTCACAAATGAGTTTGTTCTTTAAAAAAGGAGAGAAAAAAAAAAAAGAATGTGTTTCCAAGATGGTATTTAAGTCTTACTACTATCCTAGCAGGGAAGGCCAAAATAAAACGGAGTTTGTTTTGAAAAGCGACCTAAGAAATAGATAAGCTAATTCTAGGTTAACAATTCAAGTAAAATCACAACGACAGATGGGAGGAGGAGGAAACCTCATGGTCCCAGAGCGCATATCTTGCTCAAGAAAGCCTGTCATGCACTCTTTTAAAGCAGAAACAAACCATGTGAGATAGGAACTACTATCCTTGCTTAGCGGGTGAGGAAAGTCAGGTTGAGGTTAGAAGTGATTTGCCGACGGTCATACATGAACGTAGGTAAACATCAAGAATAATGCCATCTGGGGCCGGCGCCGTGGCTCACTTGGTTAATCCTCCGCCTGCTGCACCAGCATCCCATATGGGTGCCAGGTTCTAGTCCTGGTTGCTCCTCTTCCAGTCCAGCTCTCTGCTGTGGCCTGGAAAGGCAGTGGAGGATGGCCCAAGTGCTTGGGCCCTGTACCCGCATGGGAGACCAGGAGAAGCACCTGGCTTCTGGCTTCCAATCGGCGCAGCTCCAGCCGTAGTGGCCATTTGGGGAGTGAACCAATGGAAGGAAGACCTTTCTCTCTGTCTCTCTCTCTCTCACTGTCTAAAACTCTGTCAAATAAAAAATAGAAAAATAATTTAAAAAAAAATGCCATTCGTGTACTCAAAACCCAAGAAGAAAGTTGGGTTATTATCCATTCAGTCAGGTTTCCCAGAGACAGACTTTGCGCTTCACCTTCTTCAGAAACATTTACCTACTGGGTTGAAAGAAGTTGGATCATCTTTATTACTCCATGTATTACACACCCTGTATTAAGTATATAACACTTTAGATCTATTTGTACTTGCTCCAGTCATCCAAGTCTGCACTTTTAAGACATATTCTTGGCCGGCACCTTGGCTCACTAGGCTAATCCTCCGCCTTGCGGCGCCGGCACACCGGGTTCTAGTCCCAGTCGGGGCGCCGGATTCTGTCCCGGTTGCCCCTCTTCCAGGCCAGCTCTCTGCTGTGGCCAGGGAGTGCAGTGGAGGATGGCCCAAGTGCTTGGGCCCTGCACCCCATGGGAGACCAGGAGAAGTACCTGGCTCCTGCCATCGGATCAGCGCAGTGCGCTGGCTGCAGAGTGCCGGCCACAGTGGCCATTGGAGAGTGAATCAATGGCAAAAGGAAGACCTTTCTCTCTGTCTCTCTCTCTCTCACTGTCCACTCTGCCTGTCAAAAAAAAAAAAAAAAAAAGACATATTCTTCCATTTGAAAAAGCATCCATATTCACTTGGAGAAATGCATTGAATAGTTTAGAATCACTGCATTGGAGCTAGGAACAGCAACACGGCATCAAAGAACTGGCCTGAGACTCGGGACTCCCTGGGGGAGGCCCTCGCTCTGGCTATAGGGACTGGGGCCTATCGTATTTAACAACCCTCATTTTTAACTCTAGCACATTATGATTTTGAATATTCAAATTACAAAATTGGAAATTAAGCCACTTCTGGAATTGAAACAAGCATGTAACAAATTTTGGAGATTACTTTGAATTACAGTCAAGCTGTAAGTATTTATCATCAGGTGTCTTAGTGTGTTTGGGCAGTTACATGGAAATATTTTAAAGCAGGTAGCTTATGACAGAAATGTGCTTGTCATAGTTCTGGAGGACAGAAATTCCAAGATCAAGTTCCTGCAGACTTGGGCTGCTGAGGCTCATCATCTCTTGGTTGGCAGTGGTGCCTTCTCAGTGAGCCCTCCCGAGGGAGAGAAGGGAGGTCTCAGAGTCTGACCAATCCCAAAGGCCATCACATTGGTGACTGGGTTTCAGCATAGGGATGTTAGCAGGACAGAGTCAGACCATAGCAGCAGATGGCCCAAGTGTTTGGGACCCTGCACCGCCATAGGAGATCCAGAAGAAGCTCTTGACTTCAGATAGGCCCCGCTTGGGCCATTGCAGCCACTTGGGGAGTGAACCAGCAGATATAACACCTCTCTCTATGTCTCCCTCTCTGTCTGTTACTCTGCTTCTCAAATAAATAAATCTTAAAAGTTATTTACTATAATTAAGAAGACCTCTATTTGTCCAGAAATCTTTATTTAACCAATCTTCTTGAAGTAAACACTGAAACTTGAAGGAAAAATAAAGACAGTGGAAATCTTCTACGTGAGTAGGGGAGGGATTTGTTTAGGAATGGTGAACAGGGGAGGAGAGCCAATGGGTTGATGGAAAGTCGGGTCTGCTAAAATACAGCTGGAGCTCCAATCAGCATTCGTGTTACAGAGGTGAGTGAATTCCTTTTGAAAAATGATGAAGGGATTGTACTTTGCATCTAGAATCCTAAACCCAAAACAGACTCATAATAGAGAAAAAGAGCATTAAGCATGGACTGTGGGGAGCAATCCGGACTAGACTAAGTTACTCGAGTTGGGACTTGTTCTGTGCATCTGCTCTCCCACAATGTGGCGTTGGGAGAGAAGTAAACGGCTTCTGCACAGGTGCCTCCAGTTCAGCCAATAAACTGTAGGACTTGCTCCTGATTGGGGGGGAGCAGCGTGCTCGGCGTGTGGGCAGCCGAGTTGGGATTGGCGGAGGAGGACTATAAAGGAGGAGAGAGACGGCATGCACCAGGAACATCTATGGGGAACATCTAGCTGAAGGAACACCTGTGCAGCCCCCGAAGAGAGCCGGCCGACGGTGTGCCGCTCCCCTGCGGAAGTGGGGAATGTGGCCAGGGGGAACTGCCCTTCCACGGAGGTGGAAGGGATAGTAGCCAACCCGGGAAGAACCAGCAGCAAACCCGGGGAGGGCCGAGCAGACGAAAGAACAGCGCAGGGTCCTGTGTCGTTCCTCCACGAAGAGGGGGAGCGACATAATGGTGCCGTGACTCGGATATGAAGCCTAGGCAGGGTTTAGTGTCGTTCCTCCACGAAGAGGGGGAGCGACAATGGACCTTAAGCATTCAAAAAGTGTGATGAAATGTTTTGGCTGCCCTAAACTGTGGACCAATTCTTTTGGGAAGAAACTTCTTCATTGGCAATGTGGACTAAAGCAAATGTCAGATGTCAGTGACAGTGAGAGCCTTGGGATTTGAAAGCGAGAGGAGATGGAATTGGGAATAGAGAAAGAAGACTTTGCGGAAGTAGAGCTGAGAATAACTCCACAATTCTTGCATCATCATTTACCTAACTTCAGGACTGAACAGACAGTGTTAGTTATAACTACCAGAAAACTCTTTCTTAGCGCTTCTAGGGACTTGGAAAATTGCATGTGATTCCAGCCGTCAGCATGGGACGTCAAGAAGCAATCTCCCCACACTTGAGATGCTAAACCTGCAGCGTTCTTCTTCCTTGAACCTGACTATCATTTCTGAAAAACCCACTAACGAT